CCCCAAAACGGTCAGGGAACCCCAAAATATGGTCAGGGCACCCCAAAATACATCAGGGACCCCAAAATATGGTAAGGGCACCCCAAAATATGGTCAGGGACACCAAAAAACCCCAGAAACACGGGGACCCCAAAACCGTCAGGGACCCCAAAAACACATCAGAGCATCCCAAAAAAACCCCATAAATACAGCGACCCCAAAAACCATCAGAGACCCCGAAATATGGTCAGGGACCCCCAAAACCCATTAGGGCATCCCAAAATATGGTTAGGCCATCCCCAAAAAACCCCATAAACACAGGGACCCCAAAAACGGTTAGGGAACCCCGAAAATACATCAGGGACCCCAAAATATGGTCAGGGAACCCCAAAAACCCACCATAAGCACAGGGACCCCAAAAACGGTCAGGGAACCCCGAAAATAGATCAGGGACCCCAAAAACGGTTAGGGAACCCAAAAATACATCAGGGACCCGAAAATATGGTCAGTGACCCCAAAAACCCGCGAGGGCACCCCAAAATATGATCAGGGCACCCCGAAGTATGGTCAGGGACCCCAAAATATGGTCAGGGCACCCCAAAACCCTTCCATAAACACAGGGATCCCAAAAACTGTCAGGGACCCTGAAATATGGTCAGGGACCCCAAAAAAACCCCAAAACCCCCCCACGGCCACAGGGACCACCCCCCCGGGGAGTTTTATGGGGTCCTGGGGAGATTTAGGGTGCATTTATGGGGTCCCAGAGGTGTTTATGGGGTCCCAGGGACATTTATAGGATCCCAGGGCTGTTTAGGGGATGTTTATGGGGTCTCGAGGGTGTTTAGGGGATCCTGGGGGTGTTTATGGGGTCCCGGGGACATTTAGGGTGCATTTAGGATGTCCCAAAGTTATTTAGGGTGCATTTAGGGGATCCCGAGACTGTTTAGGGGATGTTTATGGGGTCCCAGAGGTGTTTATGGGGTCCTGGAGGTGTTTAGGGTTAATTTAGGGTGTTTAGGGTTAATTTAGGGTATTTAGGGTGCATTTGGGGTCCGTGACCCACCTGAGCCCCCCGGCCCAGGGCGAGGCAGGTGCAGGAAACCCCAAACTGGCAGAGGAACAGCAGCCCCAGGATCAGCACGTACTGAGGGGGTCAAGGGGGGCACAGACAGAGAGACCCCACCCCAAAATACCCCAAAATATCCAAAATATCCCCAAATATCCCAAAATATCCCCAAATACCCCAAATCCCCCCAGGAAACCCCAAACTGGCAGAGGAACAGCAGCCCCAGGATCGGGGGGGGCACAGACAGAGAGACCCCACCCCAAAATATCCCAAAATACCCCAAAATATCCCCAAAATACCCCAAAATATCACAAAATACCCCTGAGCCCCAAAATACCCCAAAATATCAAAAAATATCCCAAAATATCCCAAAATACCTGGTGGTTTATGGGGGATTGGGGACATTGGGAGGGTTTTGGGGACATCGGCAAGGGTTTGGGGACACTGGGAACGGTTTGGGGACATTGGGAAGGGTTTGGGGACCCCAAAGGTATTTGGGGTCACTGGGAGGGGTTTGTGGATCCCAGAAGGGTTTGGGGTCCAGGGGATGGGGTTTTGGGGACACCGGGAGGGTTTGGGGACACTGGAAAAGGGTTTGGGGACACCGGGAAGGGATTTGGGACATTGGCGAGAGTTCGGGGACATCGGGAGGGTTTTGGGGACCCCCGGGAGAGGTTTGGGATTTTCCGAACCCCTCTCCCCAAAAGGATACGAAGAAGAGCAGCACCGGGTGCTTTATGGGGGTTTGGGGACACTGGGATGGGTTTGGGGACCCCAAAAGGATTTTGGGGACCCCCGGCAATGATTTAGGATTTTTTGAAACCCCCCTCCCCAAAAGGATACGAAGAAGAGCAGCACCTGGTGGTTTATGGGGTTTGGGGACACCGGGAAGGGTTTGGGGATCCCAGGAAGGGTTTTGGGGACACCGGGAGGGATTTAGGGTCCAAAAGGATACAAAGAACAGCAGCACCTGGTGCTTTATGGGGTTTGGGGACACCAGAAGGGTTTTGGGGACAGTGGGAGGGTTTTGGGGACCCCCGGCAGGGATTTAGGATTTTTTGAACCCCCCGTCCCCAAAAGGATACGAAGAAGAGCAGCACCTGGTGGTTTATGGGGTTTGGGGTCCAGGGGATGGGGTTTTGGGGACCCCTGGAGGGATTTAGGATCCAAAAGGATACAAAGAAGAGCAGCACCTGGTGGTTTTATCGGGTTTGGGGACCCCGGCAATGATTTAGGATTTTTTGCAGCCCCCGTCCCAAAAGGATACGAAGAAGAGCAGCACCTGGTGGTTTATGGGGGATTGGGGACCCCAGGAGGGTTTTGGGGACCCCAGCAGTGATTTAGGATTTTTGAAGCCCCCGTCCCCAAAAGGATACGAAAAAGAGCAGCACCTGGTGCTTTATGGGGTTTGGGGACACCAGAAGGGTTTTGGGGACCTCAGGAGGGTTTTGGGGACCCCGGCAGGATTTAGGATTTTTCGAAGCCCCCTCCCCAAAAGGATACAAAGAAGAGCAGCACCTGGTGGTTTATGGGGGATTGGGGACACTGGGAGGGTTTTGGGGACCCCCGGGAGGGATTTAGGATCCAAAAGGATACAAAGAACAGCAGCACCGGGTGGTTTATGGGGTTTGGGGTCCAGGGGATGGGGTTTTGGGGACAGTGGGAGGGTTTTGGGGACCCCGGCAGGGATTTAGGATTTTTTGAAGCCCCAGTCCCAAAAGGATACGAAGAAGAGCAGCACCTGGTGGTTTATGGGGTTTGGGGACACCAGGAGGGTTTTGGGGACACCAGGAGGGTTTTGGGGACCCCTGGAGGGATTTAGGATCCAAAAGGATCCAAAGAACAGCAGCACCTGGTGCTTTATGGGGGATTGGGGACCCCAGAAGGGTTTTGGGGACCCCTGGAGGGATTTGGGATCCAAAAGGATACAAAGAACAGCAGCACCTGGTGGTTTATGGGGTTTGGGGACACCAGAAGGGTTTTGGGGACAGTGGGAGGGTTTTGGGGACCCCGGCAGGGATTTGGGATTTTTTGAACCCCCCGTCCCAAAAGGATACGAAGAACAGCAGCACCTGGTGCTTTATGGGGGATTGGGGACATCGGGACGGGTTTGGGGTCCAGGGGATGGGCTTTTGGGGACCCCGGGAGGGATTTGGGATCCAAAAGGATACGAAGAACAGCAGCACCTGGTGGTTTTATCGGGTTTGGGGACCCCAGAAGGGATTTAGGATTTTTTGAACCCCCAGTCCCAAAAGGATACGAAGAAGAGCAGCACCTGGTGCTTTATGGGGTTTGGGGACAACGGGAAGGGTTTGGGCACACCAGAAGGGTTTGGGGTTCAGGGGATGGGGTTTTGGGGACAGTGGGAGGGTTTTGGGGATGCCGGCAGGGATTTGGGATTTCCCTCAGCCCCCTCCCCAAAAGGATACGAAGAAGAGCAGCACCTGGTGCTTTATGGGGTTTGGGGACACTGGGGAGGATTGGGGACACCGGGACGGGTTTGGGGTCCAAGGGATGGGGTTTTGGGGACAGTGGGAGGGTTTTGGGGACCCCCAGCAGGGATTTAGGATTTTTTTAACCCCCAGTCCCAAAAGGATACGAAGAAGAGCAGCACCTGGTGGTGCCGCAGCGCCCCGAGCAGCCCCAGCGCCGCGATGAGGAGGAGGAAGATCCCGACGGCGAAGGCTCCTCCGAGCAGGGGGGGGCTCGAACCCACCCCCAGAGCCCGCGCCCAGCCCGCCACGGCCACCAGCAGCACCCCGACCAGCTGAGGGGACATGGGGACACATGGGGACACCGCCCGAGTGTCACCGGGACATGGGGACATGGGGACAGCCCCGCCACGGCCACCAGCAGCACCCCGACCAACTGAGGGGACACGGGGACACATGGGGACACCGCCACCAGGAGCACCCCGACCAGCTGGGGACAGCGACATGGGGACATGGGGACATGGGGACACATGGGGACATGGGGACACGGCCACCAGGAGCACCCCGACCAGCTGGGGACAGCGACAGGGACATGGGGACATGGGGACAACCCCTGAGTGTCACCGGGACCGGGACAGCCCCGCCACGGCCACCAGCAGCACCCCGACCAGCTGAGGGGACATGGGGACATGGGGACACGGGGACAGGGGACATGGGGACACGGCCACCAGCAGCACCCCGACCAGCTGAGGGGACATGGGGACATGGGG